GGTCAGAGGACTACGTGAGCTGTAAGCTGATCGCAGTCTCTTCATCGTAATGGTCAGAACAGCAAATCATTGCAATGCTGGTTTTTTATTTCTTCGTCCTTTAAGCGACATTGAATCTGATGGCGATTGATAAAGCTGCGATCATAGATACTCGTTCTATTGAGCAGACAACTTTTCTATAGCGTTGTGCTTCTCCACAAAATATTTTCCTCCCTGCATCATGCATTATCTCATGACACTTATTCAGCTCTACTTAAGTGTCTCGGGGGAAATTACTCGTATCATCCACCCTGGCTAAGATGTGCTGGCAGGCCTCAGACGAAGAAAGTGGACATGAATGGGGAACAGGGTTCCGTGTACTATTGTACCAATATTCCAGCTTCCGAGAGGACTTTTCTCCTTGAAAATATTCTCGCGCGCATCGTCGCACGGGCAGTATATTCTCAAAATATTGAAAAAAGAAGTCCCATGTACATTTTCCACTTCAAATGTTAGCGCATGTCAAACCAAAATGTAGAAAGTCTACTATATATTTAAGGTCAAACCCCCAAGGAAAGAGTTGCTCAAAACGAATAGTTGAAGTGAAGGGCGCCCGCCAACCACGACAACCTCGCATGGACCTTAATAAGAACTGTCTGCAATGGCTTGGCTGAATTCTGTCAAGATGGGCTCATCGGAATGTCTTGCCGCCGCCATGTCACGATCACTCTATCCCAGCATCCCTGATAGCCCGCGAATCGGCCGGACGTCAAGTGTGGATCTCCAGCCAGCCACTGTCAGGGGAAGGTATGCAAGGGTAATGAGCAAGCTTGGCCAAAGAAACAGCGGATTGGGGAACAGGGATTGGGCAGTGGGGTCAGTCGCCTTGAGTCTGTTTGGCCTTTTTTCAGCTCGACCTGTTCTAACTTACAAAATGCGCGGAGGCGTTTCTTCTTCGCATCTCTCAGCACGGGCTATTGACAAGACTATCACGAATCCGGTTCGACTTCAAGAGACGTCTTAGCGCCAGGGGCTGAATTCCAAGCCAATGTTCGCGCAGGCAGCAAAACTGTGCATTAAAGTGATGGGAAAGAGCGCAGGTGGTCCACAGACTCGGATGGCCCGTTGAGGCGGCGCTGGAGAATTCAAGATGAAAACACTAATACAACGCCAAAGGTAGCGGGACGTTTGCGCCGTTGCTGTCCGGCCGAGACATAGCTTATTGCAGATAACCTTAATAATAGTCCAGGTATCCATCGAATATACAGTAACAAGCCGGCAATATATAGAATTACAGCCAGTATAGATGCACGTATAGCTATAGACATCTGTTGGATTAATTGATAAGGATCCAGTTCTGCAAAATTAGCAGGGCAATTCCATCATACCCATGACAACCCCATGCATGCACGTATGCGCTCTCATCACGACCCACCCGCTGGGAACAACCATTCCTGGGATCCTAGCAAAAGAAAAGTGGCCGGGGGGCCCGAGGCTGCTATGAAGTCATCTCATCGCTGCTTGGCCCATTCAACAAGGCGAGCCCGTCGTAACCCCCCACATGACAAACAATCCCTGAGATGACGGCGCAAAATCGCATCAGCACATCCAATCCATGATCCTTACACAGTTTATTGTGGATTTTGAATTACTTACACGATGTCCAAGGTCTGCATGGTTCCTAGACTTGTTCTCAAATGGAAATACTTCCGTGCTGTGTCCCCCTAAACCTACCGAGCCAGGGATTGAGGCGACGGAGAGGTGGGATGGAGGTTTAATTTAACACCTTGTGCATATTAAGTCATACTAGCTTTCTATCTGGGTTTCGGTGTGCAGAGACCCATGCCTGCGCCGGTTAGATGCCTTCAGTCTAGTATCTAGGCTGGACGAGGTCACTTAATAAACAAGCACACACACCTATATATATATCCTTGACTGCGCTGTCTCTTTCTGAGTTTTTGGGAATTCCTCACCAAGCGTGTCAGTCATTCGTTTATTTCATTCATTTCGCAGAAGATAGAAGTCACCCTTAGTCCTGTGGCTTCCTATTCTGCATAATCAATATCTTCCGACATGCGTTCCTTCATTACTCCTTTCGTGCCAGCTTTGGCCTTACTGAAATATGGTCAGCCCGTGGTCGCATACGCCGTATCCAAGGCGGCTTGCACCAGCGAGCCAGGAGAATGTCTCGAACACGGCTCCTTTGAGAACGGCTGGGGCAACTGGGAACTGGCCGACAAATCCCCCAGCGGAAACACCGTCAGCCTTAACAAGGCTGGGGGCTCCGGTAGTACCTTCTCCGCCGCCGCTGATGGAGACTACTACTTCCAGACTAAAGGTGACGAATGCGAGTTCACATTAGCTCAGCAGTTAAGCGATCTCATCCCAGGGTCGAGTTACACTGTGTCCTTTCACTACGCCACCAGCCCCTACCAGAGGGCGTCCGGTGTCTGCGACTGCTTCGTTTACGAGGACACTACAGGAAAGCAGATTGACTACTTCAGCCTCGAGCTGGGCATCAAAGCTACACCCTGGACGCAGCACTCGCTGAGCTGGGAGCCAACAGGTTCCAGTCACCTTTTGATCTTCGATATCAGCTGCAGCGTCTCATCATCGCTGTACGCTGTTGGCTGGGATAACTTCAAAGTTGAGGGGAAGAAGAGCATCAGCGGATGCAGCACTAGCCACCCAAGCACCACGTCCAAGGTCAGCTCAACGAGTACCAACAAGCCTACCTCTACTGGCAAGCCATCAACTGGAAAACCCTCGACTGAGAAGCCGAATTCTACTGGAAAGCCTTCTTCAGTTGGAAAACCATCAACATCTGCGGGCAAACCTTCCACAGGAAAACCCACTTCGACGGGCAAGCCTACCTCTGCTGACAAGCCGTCAACTGGGAAGCCCTCCACTGAAAAGCCAACTTCTACTGGAAAGCCTTCCACGTCGACGAACAAGCCCTCTTCCAATGGAAGACCTTCAACTGATAAGCCCAGTTCGACTGCAAAGCCTACTCTATCCAATGGTAGACCATCCACCAGTAAGCCTTCCACTGGCAAGCCCGCCTCTACTGAGAAGCCAACCTCTGCTGGAAAGCCTGCCTCCGTTGAAAAACCGTCAACTTCAGACGGCAAACCTACCTCAACTGGTAAGCCTTCAACTTCAAACGGAAAGCCTACGTCAACGGGTAAGCCGAATTCTGTTGGGAAGCCTTCTACCTCAACTGGTAAGCCTTCCACTAGCAAGCTTACATCGACAGGTAAACCTAGCTCAAGTGGAAAGCCAGCTACCATTGGAAAACCTTCAATCTCGACGGGAAAGCCGGCCACTGGCAAGCCAACAACGTCAAGCGAAAAGCCTTTGTCGACGGGTGAACCGAGCTTGGTTGGAAAACCGTCAACGTCCACGGGAAAACCGTCCACTGGTAAACCCAGCTTTACTGGTAAACCCACCTCGGGAGAAAAGCCTAGCTCAGTTGGAAAGCCTTCCACTTTTACCGGCAAGCCTTCCTCGTCTGGTAAACCTTCCACTTCAACAGGAAAGCCCTTGACTGGCCGTCCTAGTAGCTCCAATGGAAAGCCTATCGATACAAGGAAGCCAACTACATCGACAGGTCAACCTGCTTCTACTGGAAAGCCTATGTCAATTAACAAAGGCACTTCTTCGGGCAAGCCTACGCTCTCCGCTGGAAAGCCTACAGCAACCACCAAACCCACTACCTCGGGCGGCAAGCCCTCTACTGGCAAGTTTAACGGCTCCACCGGACGGCCTACCGGAAGGCCCACCGCCTCTGATAAGAGTACTACCTCCTCTGGCAAACCCACTTCATCTGGTAAGCCTACTTCATCAGGCAAACCATCTTTATCCGCTGAAAAGCCGCATACATCAGTGGGCAAGCCTATCACTTCTTCAGTAGGTAAGCCTACTGCCTCCGGCAAACCCACGATGTCTGGAGGTAAGCCGACAACATCTACTGGAAAGCCTGCTTCGTCTGCGGGCAAGCCTTCATCCCACTCTGGCAAGCCTAGCTCCTCTGGAAAACCTATTACTTCTTCCAGTGGACCTACGGTCTCGGTTGGTAAGCCCACATCCACTGGCAACCCTGTGTCGTCGGCTGGTAAACCTGGTTCTTCCACTAGCAAACCTGCTGGCTCCACGGGTAAACCAGCCTCATTCACCGGTAAGCCAGCTTCTTCTACCGGAAAGCCTGTCTCCTCGGCTGGAAAACCAGGTTCTACAACCGATAAATCTGCTAGCTTCACAGGCAAACCCACTTCCTCTGCTGGAAAGCCTGGTTCTTCCACTGGTAAGCCTGCTGGCTCCATTGGAAAGCCCATCTCGTCACCTGGCAAACCCGTGTCCACGGCTACACCTCCAGTGTCCGTCGGCACAACGACCACCCCGCCCACCACTGTTTTCACATCCACCACTTCCATTCCCTCTTCTTCGACCCAGAGCACCACGACTAGCTCGCCGACAACAATTGTTGGAACCAATGAGGCCATCTCGCCCCGATCTAGCGCGCTCTTGACCACCCTGGCCAGCTTTATGGCCTTGGTCATTATCATATAAAAATAAGTAAAAGAATAGTGCGCAGGGGGATATATGTTATTTCTGAAGGAGCCCCTTTTTAGTGGGTTAGATTTGTAATAGTAATAAAATAATTCATTCACCTCTCTTGCCAACTACCATATTTGTTCTTCCGTTCCGTTCAACATATCTTCCCTGAAGCTGTCAAGCGACGATATGAATGTGACGACATGCTTCCACAGACGAGAAGTCAGTCCCCTGTATGCTGTCTCGCCTTGTAAAGGTGGAGCTGGTACTACCTTTCCTTGAGTAGTTTTTTTTTGATTGGATGTGCGCGTACAAACCTGTCTCAAACGGGATTTCCAACCCTTTTTGTCCAACTCAGCCTCCACCGGGGCAAAAGATTGGCACAGACGAGAACTGTGAGGCAGTTAACTTACAAGAACCAAAAAAGGAAAAAGAAAAACCAGGAACTGGCCGATGAAGCAATTGATTGCCCACTACTGGAATCGAACCAGTCACCTCGTCATTACTAGTGACGCGCTCTACCGATGAGCTAAGCGGGCCCGCAGTGGGCTTGATGAAAACTTTTGTGGTCTAACGCAGTACTTGACGATCCCAGCAGAACCACAGGTAGTGCTCGCTATTCAGACCCTAATTTAAAAATCGGTTAATGTGCAAAGTAGTAGTGCAACAGTAATGGTGGTTGTTGGTCCTTCTCTGTACTCACCCCCCAGCACTTCAAAAAAAAAAAAATGGCCTTGTAGCCTCGCCCCTTTTTTCGAGTGTCTAACGTTAGGCATTTTCCTTGTCACGGGTTGCTGGGTTATGGGTGTTATGTCTCCTTCCGACTGACCTTGGTTTACAACTGCGTTCACAGCCGTACGCACTTAGACACACAAACACGCACATAAATGTCTCTTAAAATATCTAACTGGAAAATTACAAAGCATACCCCGTGAGATGCGGTGGGCGGTGGATTAGAGAGCCGGCGGATGCCCTATGTCTATCAACACACAAGGCCTGAAGTCCGCTCACGAGCCCTAGCAACGATGTCAGCTGCGAGCTGCCACTTCCGGATTTCTCTGGCCGTGCTCGCTCTCGTCGAGGCGACCTCCTCATCCTCACGAGTAAGTTCTTCGATCTCTGCTTCGCTAAGCCCGTCGGCCCACTTCCTCCTAAGGCGAATCAAAGGGCTTTTGGGGCCCCAAAGCAACTCCTGGGTCATCTTATGTGTGATATCCCGGATGAAAGATTCTCTCGCAATCTAAGACGTGATAGTCAGACAACATTGGTCAGGAAAGAAAAAGGAACACTGGGGGGCTTTTTGCAAATTAGATGGAATGCGAACCTGGTAATACGTTTTGAGCATGTCGTGCACGGTATTCACCATATTCTCCTTGATGGAGAAATGGAGCTTACGGTAAATGGTAGCCAGATTGGCCCTGGGATTATCCAGCTGTACCGACTCGATCAGTTGCAGCATGCGTAACTGCTGCCAGGCCTCGACCCGCCGGGAAAACCTCTCGTCCGTCGTCTTCAGCGGATTGTTGCGTTCCCGGTAGCACCAAACCCCCACCTCGGCCAGGATCCCGTTCAAGTTTTCGGTCCAAAACTCCTCGGCAGCGTGGCAGAGCCCGGTGAATAGCGCGCCTGAGGCCGGATGAGGATTGGGCGGGCAGACGCAGACGAGCATGTCGTTGGACACGCGCGCCACGTGCTGAGCGACATCCCTAATGTGCTGCTGCGCCAGAGCCTCCCAGTTCTTGGTTTGCTTCCTGAAAAGTTCAGGCACCACCTCCGGATCCATCAGCCCAGGTAGGTGGATGCTCTTGAACACTTCTAGCTCTTCTTCGATGGCTTTAAGTAGTTGATTGCCTTCACTATTCCCGATCTTTGCTCTTCGGCTCTCTCCTCGAGGCTTTACCTGACTAGCTGTACTCACGGAATCCGGTGATGAGCCCGAGAAATTGAATGAGACTGACGGGCTTCCGTTAATCGATGATGGTGGTGTGAAGAGTCCAGCCGAATTCTTGTTCGCGTAAGCAGTCTGTGACGCTTGTGAAGCTTCAACTGTGAAGATCTGCAGTTCTTCCTCGGGATCTACATTTGCATCCTGAAATTGAAATGTGTGACCCTTTTCATACACAGATTTAGTAAACTTTTCATTCTCGGCCTCGACCTTGCTTCCAACCCTTAGGCAATCAACCTCCAGAAGTCCTGGTCTGCGAAGCGTTTTATCAACTAGACCTTCATACTCGGCGAGAACGTCTCTGATATAATGGAGGCGTGCCATGGGTGTTGTGAGAGGCTTTCCGAGTCCTTCTTGCTTCTCTATCGCCCTAGTTAAGAATTCCTGGACTTGCGCCTGTATACCAGGGAATATTTCCATCATCCGAGAGCAAAGGAGATTGCTGAGGTATTTCCTCAGCATATCGGTTCCGCACCTATTCCTAGGAATGCGATTCCATGGCGCCTTGTCAAAGAGCTCTGTTTCGGCTTGGGAGGTGTTTAAAGACTTGTTGTCCTTTTCGGAACGGTTGCGTACCACAAACCACCCATCACCCATCTCGAATCCATATTCCTCGTTGTTCGCAATTAAGACAGTCTGTTGCAGTTAAATCAACTCTAGCTCTTCCGTCTCCTTGCCATGCATTAAGTTAATGGTGATCTTACCTTGGTATCGTCCGGAGCTGCATCGCATTTCGTAAGCACTCCTACCAATCGCTTCTTGTTTACAAGCTTGCCGGCTATTTCGGGGACTTTCTGATTTCCCATGTCATATGAGGCATCGGCCACACAGCTAATGTTAAGGATAATGCCCCGTCAGGAAAAAGCCAATTGCCAGGGGAATCTTCTGAAGCACTACTCACATTACAATGTTCTCATCTCTCTTCATGTATTCTTCCACCATTCTTTGGACGCCCTCCGCCTCTCCAGGCCTTACGGGGGATCCGTTGGTGAAATAACCAGGAATATCGATGATACTGAACTGCGAACGTTTGGGGCCTGATAGTTCGACGCGGAGAACTTGTGTCGCAAAGTTTTTTGCATCCTCGCCTTTGCCTTCACAGATGCCGAAATACTTATCCGACACCTAGGTAGATCAACAAGTGGTTAGCCCAGGGTTATACGAAGCGACTGATGAAATATTTACCTCATCCATAATCGACCGGAATTCCTCGGCGTTAAGATTAGTTCCCTTGCGCTCAAAATCCTTCCAGGAGTCACTGGGAGGATATCTGAACTCTGGAATAACCACTTCGGGCTCTACAATGTTGATCTTGAACAAGTTGTCGGTGCCAGGAGCTGTGCGTCTAGAGACAATACGGGTTGCAAAGCGTGTGCAGGTTCCCACACCTACGGGGAATGGGATGTCTGTCAATCTCTGCAGCAAGGTTGATTTACCGGCTGACTGCTGTCCTACAATGACTAGCTAAAAGAAAAGAAACGAAACAAAGTTCAAATATTAACGTATGCACTTCGAAGTCATAGCAATAAAGCAAGAGCATAAGCAGCGTTTTTGAGTTCTTACCTGAGGAATTGCCAGCTGATGGCTTAAGCCATAAGATTGTAGTTGATCTATTGCATCAAATAATACTTTGCTGTACTCGCTGTCAAACGGATTCTCTCTAATAGAATTTCCTTCCTCATCTCGTTCATCAGTGATGGAGGTTGCCGCGTCCTCAGAGGTGGCCTGCACCTTTGAGGCATCTTCATCTCCTGGTCCTGGAGTGGTTAATGGGGTAGTTGACGGGGTAGTTGATGGGGTAGTTGATGGAGTGGTCGATGGGGTGGTTGAAAGGGCTGCCATAGCTGATGACTGATTAGGGTAAATTGAGAAAGATATGACAATAAAAAGTTAATGCAGATTTTCAAGGCAACAAAGAGGAAAGAGTATACACAGACTGTGTAAAATTTGGGGGTTGTATGATACTCTCCAGAGATTTGACAAGTGTCCAGTTACCGAAGATACCTCTCCTTTTATCAGTAATCCGGAGCTCAAAGCATCACACCATTACGAGATTGATAGGAGGCTGTGTATAGATTACCCTGCGCTGAGCTCGACATGATACCCACATACATAGCCCAATTCGGTATTCCTGACTAACGAGCAGGTCGAGGTCATGAAGGCCCAACCCACCCACCCCTGTTTCTCGCAAGGGGAAGCTGCCGATGGTTCGGGATTGTCAGTAGATGAAGGTTTCATTGAATCAGCAGTATCTCTTTCTGCGACAGCTTCGCCCTTCGTTTCAGCAATCTCAACTGGCATGGTGGCCAATGGCATGGTCCCACCTGCAAGGGAAGCAGCAAGCACGATGCACCCGTTAAGGGAAAAGAGCGGAGTGGTGGGGAATCGTGGGGAGAATGACAGGACAAGATTGGGTGATGTTTCATGGTGGGAACCGGGACCATGCGAGGATCTGATTCCGGACCAGGCCGCAACCTTGACCTGGATTTGCAGCCCGGGCGGCATATCTGGTCGACTGGCCGGGCCTCCAAGGGGACTGCGGCTGATGAAACAACCCGGCCATCGCGTTTTTGCAAGTTCCTAAGGATTATCAAATAGACCCCCACGTGGCGCAGGGGAAGGGATGTCATGAACATCATATCATGAGAGTTAAGTCCCGTTCGGATGCTGTGGGGCTACACCCTGGCTGGGTTTTCTGGTTGCCGCCCACCATCCTGGCCGACTCTTTGGGCCATGTCATGCTCGCTCTTTTCTTTTTCTTGCTCCCCCCTTCGTCTTCCCGTTTCTTTGGCGCCGTCATTGTTTGTACCGGATGTCCGTACGCGCGGCAGCCAAAGCGCTACTCTATTTTGAAGGAAGCTGAACTCTGGTCTTGCCTGCCATCGTGCTGAAGGCTGTTTCGGATCATGCAACCTCAGGTCGGCCGGGCCGAAGGTTCTTAGCCGGAGCGCTTATTCGGGGACGCGGCACACTGCCTGACCTTGACCCCCCTTGCCATGGGAAGGAAGTCCAAATTCGCACCCACCCCACCCGTTGAGGGTGTCCACCCCCAGTAGTATTGAAATGAATTACGGGGTAGGCTACCTCGCTTCTCATCTCGCACATGCTCTGTTGTCCTGTTGATTCCAGGATTGATTTGGCAAAAGTACGATTGAAAGGAAGTCTTTCAACCAGGAGGACTTGAGCTATCGTTTGAACTTGCCAGCAGCTAGGATCTACCTTGCACAGTATCCTTACCTTACTACCTTGTCCGTCACGAGCTCATCCGACGTCCCTCGGATAGGTCGTTGGTCTGGTTAGCCTGCCGAAAATCGTCAGAATCCCCCATTTGCAAATTTGGAATTCAGGGCAGTGGGCACCGTCAAGTCCGTGATTCGAATTCGTGAGAACCTGTCGGATTGTGAAAGCTTTTCTCATCTCTCCCCTCATCGCGCTAACCGATCGCCCATGGTGCTTCCCTACTGCTGTCTGCATAGTCTGCGTTCGAATCTCAGACTTGACGTTTTTGATAGGTATAATTGCCTCTAGTCTAAAAGTGAAAAGAGATGATGCCGTCTTTCTTCAATAAACAGCAGACTGTTACTGCATGCTGCA